CTCCCTCTCTCTCTCTCTCACTTGCTCTCTCTCCCCATCTCTCTCGCTCGATCTCTCCCTTCACTCTCTCTCCCTCTCTCCCAAGTTCTCTCTCTCTCTCTCTCTCCCCCTCTCTCTCTCGCTCACTCTCGCTCGATCTCTCTCTCTCTCTCTCTCTCTCTCTCTTTCCTTGCTCTCTCTCTCTCCCTCTTCCTCTCTCTCTCTTCCTTGCTCTCTCTCTCTCTCCCTCACCCCCAACCATGCCCCACGAGCAAACCCGTACAAAATGCGCCGGCTGGATCTCATTTCTGAGAGAAAAATCCCCTAGACGAAATTGCGCCCAGGGAAAGTTAGAGAGAGAGGGAGAGATAAAGAGAGAGAGAGAGAGAGAGAGAGAGAGAGAGAAAGTAATTACTTACGGCACCTAATAAGGGAACATAATGTTAGTTTTATTGGTTTTTTGGAGACAAAGATGGAGTCCTTTGACAGAAAAGATGTGGACAAGTTGGCAGGACGTGACTGGGAATTTGTTTTTCAACCTTCCATTGGCAATGCAGGTGGCATCCTAGTGATATGGAAGAGTAGTGATCTTTCTTTTATTGTTTCTTTTCAAGCTAATCAGTATATCATGGGGAGATTAAAGATTACTGATAGGATTGATTGGGAAGTAGCTGTGGTTTATGCTAATAAGGATAGGCATACTAGGAGGACTGTTTGGGATGATATTTCCAAATACCATACAATGGGGGTTCCATTTTTTGTTGGTGGAGACTTCAATTGCATTATGGCACAGGCAGAGAAGAAGGGGGGTAAAGCTTTTCATTTTTCCCCAGCTGCAGGTGATATGGCTGATTTCATGTTGACTAATGACCTTTTTGATCCTGGATTCATTGGTCCTAGTTTTACATGGACTAACAACAAGGATGCTAGGAGTCGTATTTTTTCCAGGTTGGATCGTTTTTTGGTGAGTTCTTCTATTCTTGATGTATTCCAGGGATTGAAGATTAAGCATCTTACCAGACTTGCTTCAGATCACTGCCCTATTCTTTGTTGTTTGATGGAAGATGTGAAGAAGGCTTGCTACCATTGGATTAAATTTGAAGATGTGTGGGCTAGCTACCCTTTTGCTTGGCATTTAGTGGGGGAGAAGTGGAAGGTGGAAGATTTGGGCAGTGAATCCTTTAAGCTTCAAAGGAAATGCCAAAGGTCTTTGAAGGCTTTGTTCTTTTGGAGTAAGAACAAGCTTAAGAGCCTTAATAATTAAAAGAAGATCTTGATAAAGAGATTGAAATTTTACAGGAGATTGAATGTGGGCCAAGTGGTCTTTCTGAGGTGCAGGAAGAAGCCTTGAGGTATAAGGTTAAATTGTTGAATAATACTCTTACTCGTATTATGACTTGGTGGAGACAAAGAGCAAAGGTGCTGTGGATGGAGCAGAGGGATGGGAATACTCACTTCTTCCATTCAATGGCATCGGCTAGAAGGAGATCTAAGAGCATTGATTCCATTAAGCAAGATGACGGGTCACTGGTAACAGATCAAGGTGATGTTTCTAAGGTGTTCTATAAGTTTTGCCAGCTTAAATGGCAGGGGCAGTCAATTGTGGAGGACGGATGGCCTTCTCTTGAACTTCATAGTAATTGTGTAGCAGAATTCAAAGACTTCTTGGAAGGTGATGTTACTGAGGAAGAAATATGGTCAGTTATTTGTTCCTTGGGCCGGAACAAGGCGCCTGGGAGGGATGGAATTACTGCTTCATTTTTTAAATTCTTTTGGAGCATTGTGGGGGAGCAGGTTATGAAGGCATGTTTGGAGTTTTTCAATTATGGATGCATGGATCCAAGGTGGAAGGAGACAGTTGTTGTTCTTTTACCAAAGGTTGCTAATCCTGATCAACCGTCCAAATTCAGACCGATAAGCTTGTGCCAAACGATTTACAAAGTTGTTGCAAAGGTAATTGTTAATAGATTGAAAGGCATTTTGCCAGATTTGATTTTTGAGGAACAGGCGGCCTTTGTTCAAGGGAGATCAATTTCAGAACATTGCATGTTGGGGCAAGAAATGATGAATAAGTTTAAGAATTCTAAATCAACTAAGGGGATGTTGGCATTGAAAGTGGACATGGAGCAAGCATATGACAAGATGAGTTGGAGGACTTTGGAGCTTGTTTTGATTCATATGGGGTTCCCTTGTAGATTCAGGAATTGGGTTCTGAGCTGTGTTCAAAGCCCAATTTTTTCTATATTGGTGAATGGACAGCTAACGGATGGAATTGTGGCAAATTGTGGATTTTGCAAAGGATGCCCGCTGTCTCCATATTTGTTCATCTTATGCTCAGAGCTTCTTTCTGCCCACTTCCATCAAAATTTCAAGGAGCTTGAGTGACAATCAGTGTGGGTGGACCTCTGGTCTCCCACATGCTTTATGCTGACGATATTTTGTTTTTTGCAGGTGCTAATATACCAAATGTGAAGAAGATTACTTCAATTTTGGAGTCTTATTGCTCTTGGACTGCTCAAAGGGTGAATAGAAGTAAATCTTGCTTTTTGTTTAGCAAATTCACCTCCTTTTCTACCAAGTCATGCCTTGCAAAAATTACTGGATGTCGGAAGGTAGAAGAGATGGAATATTTAGGCATTAGATTGGCATTGAGAAGACTCTTGAGGAAAGACTTTGCTCCCTTGTTGCAGCAAGCCTCGGCCAAGACATTAGCATGGGGGACAAGACATTTATCCATGGCTGGGAGGGTCACCTTAGTAAATTCAGTTCTTCTTCCTTCTTCTGTTTATTTGGTGACACACTCACTTGTTCCAAAGTCTGTTCTAAATGATGTGGAGAGAATTTGTAGAAACTTCTTATGGGATGCTGATGCTAATCACAAAGGTATTCATTATGCCTCTTGGGAAAGTGTTTCAAGACCAAGGAGGTTAGGGGGACTTGGCTTTCATGCAAATGTTAATTGGATGGGTCCCCTTAGAGCTCGGGTGGCGTGGGACTATATCAGTAAGCCAAATTCTATGTTTCACAGGTGTATGGAACGGAAGTATTGTAATTGGCCTTGTGTTTATGAGTTTGTTTGTGGAGATTCATCTGTATGGAGATTAATCTGTTATGGGGCCATCAGTTTGAGCTGTTGTGTGAGATGGCAAGTGTGTAATGGGGATAAAATTGACATATTGAATCACATTTGGATTGGGATAGAGCTCTGTCGTCTTGGCCAACTTTCTGTGACATAGCTGCTATTGAGGACCTTTCAATTTCAGAACTCCTGACGTTGGACGGTGTTTGGAATGAGCAAAAGCTGAGACTCTGGTTTGGTGAGAGTCTTGTTGA